GATACTTTTGTAGACTTTGATCCCGCGGATTGGGTTTCATCGCCAAATGCAGTAAAAGTATCCATCTTTTTCGGTGACTCTAGACTAGCCATCACCGGAGTTGTTTCTTCTTCTCTTGGATCGGCTTTATCTTGAAAGGCAATGGTCTTTTCAGCCTCCAGATCCTCTTCCAAAGAATAGTTTCTCATATGAGTGCTTCTCTGTTTGTAAATAGAGAACTCATCTTCTTCCGTAGGGCTCATCTGAAACACAGCAAAAAACTTATAAGAACATAATCCTCACAGACTTAAAGATTTTACAATGAATGAGTGATTCGATCAAATCTCTTTCTCTTACCTTTACATCAGAGATATCGACATTGTTCTCTCTGAGGAAAGAGAGAAATTCCATGAAATTCTCTTCGGTAGGTTGATAATGTCCACTATGTGGCCATACAGCCTTAAGAACACCATCCTCAACAACTAATCTTCCTGCAGCAACAGTAGCTCCTCCAGCTAAGAAGCTCGAATGTTGAAACGTACCCTTCTTCTTCTTTCCGACATATAACACTTTCGATGTGCTGAGCACAAAAATCCATTTGGAATCACTATCTTCCATATCAGAAGTTTGAAGAATTTCTCCACTATGCTTGTAAAAGAATTTTCCGTCTTCCAATACCACCTCATAAGCTTTCCTTTCCATCTACACAAAACATAAAGATGACAGCAATTAGAAAGAGGTTCTAATTTCTCAGCGAAGTTACTTGTTGAGCAAAGATAAAGAGATGGATACTAACCGGACCAAGGTACTTAATGCACTGTTGTTGAAGTTTCAATCGCGGACATTTCTCCACAAGATTTACTTCTTTACCCTCGCCGATATCAAGCCTGCAACATTTGGATCAAACCCATATCTAAGTTTAGTTTCTTGATTCAGGACAAAAAAAGTTTTGCAGGAATGGGATAATCAATAGGTGAGAAGGAATTACCAGTAGAAGAAAGGTTCTCTACTCTGACAATGGAGCCATTTGTTGTAGTAAAAGTGTAGGTTGTGTCCATACCGATGTCTCGGGTCAATCTGTTAAAACCAAAGTGCATAAACCAAGATCAGATCACGTTAGATCCAAAAAGCGGTAACAAAGAAAATTGGAACTGAGATTAATCTCTAACTTACCGCTTCAAGCCAGTGTTGTAGAGCAAGCTTTTGAGCCTTTCCATTCTTTGACAAACCTTTACCAACCTTAGCTGCTCTAGTCCTCGCTCTAGACCACCTTGAAATCGCGGTTTCGTGTTTCTCAATATCAAAGAAAGATATAGAACTTCTCTTCAGCTCAGCAAAATCCAAAAGTTTCCACCTGTGAATAGA